TAAAAATAAATTGATTTACTTTTTTAACTACATTACTAGCCACACAAATTCGCACATAGTCATTGGAAGTCGCACATTAGAGTCATAGAGTCATACATTCATACATAGACACAGAGTCACACAGAGGACACGTTTCATGAATATCTCAATAATATCTTGTCAAAATGATGACATAGATAAGTGTGTAATCGAATCATTTTGTAGTTTAAAACTGAAAAAAGTTAGTGTTAGATTTATTAGTTTTAATCATTTTTTTTAATCTTTTACAAAAATAGTATATCAGGTTAAAAATCAAATGTAGAGGGATCGTAATCGTAATTTACATAAGTAGAAAGATAACTAAAAAAGTTTAAAAAGTAAATGGATATATTACATAAGAAAAAACAGGAACTCATAGAATAAAGGATAAAAAGGGATTCATTATTTATCGTAAACAGATCATCAGCTAACCAGGGAGTAACTGAAGCAGTAACTGAAGCATGAAAATATGAAAATGAATATGAAACGAAAATCCGTTTAAAGATATGTGTACTAAAAAAGTAATTGTACCAAAATTAAAAAGGCAAATACTTGAAATATACAACTGTTTAAAATTAAATAACTGATTAAAAACATACATCATTTGCGTCATAGGGTTGACACGAACGTTTAAAGATCATGTGGAACTATATAAAATAAGTATCACATATACATAAAAGTAATATATTGTGATGTAAAAACTTATGTCAATAGGAAACAAAAAATTGGTAGATAATGCACAAGATCATCATACGTGTAATAAAAGGTAGGATTTAGACTGTTTTAGGGTGACTTAAGGCGTTTGGGGAATGAATGTAACGAATGTGGGGGCTATCTTTATTGTTTTCGGTTTAGAACTTAACAGTTTAACTAACCAACAAAAATTTAATTAGAATTTAATTAGAATTTAACTAGAATACGCTACATAAAAAATACCGTAAAGTAGTTTCTATAAAAGTTATTTTTTTATAAATAAAATTTTTGATTTTCAAATTTTTTCAAGTTTGGATACTTGTTTACATCAACTGTACCATTACTGTACCATACAAATCATACAAATATTCAATGACTCCGTTTATTTTCACCTATTTTAATGTTTCATGTCTGTATATATAATATGTTCATGTGAGCCTAACTCCATGCTGTACTCTTATCAAGGGCTTTTATGCATCCCCCAAAAAATCTATAACCATTAGTGGTAACATTGACGGCCGCGAGTCGTATATCCCCGCCATCATTTATCATCATTATTTATAAATCCTAACTAAAATAATCCTATATATTAACAAGTTTGTTTATCTTATATAATCTATCGTTATCATATTTTGATCAATTTTTGTAAATACTATAAATTTTGTAGATAAATTTTTTCGTCCCTTACCAAAAAATTAAAAAAAAAATTTTACATCATACTGTCATATCTGTCAATATCTTATTAATACTTTAAAAAATATATTAACGTTAAATTAAATCCCCTCATACCTTTTTTTAAATTATGTACCTATTTTGGAATAACATCTGACTCGTTAGAACTCCTAGAATTTCTTTTGCTATAAATACTCGATAAATTTTTTTCGACTTTTTTTTTTCAAGAAAACAATCAAATAACGATCGAAATTAAAAATGCAACCTCTTTCACCTTGTGTGATAACAAGTCAATTAGGATTTGGTGGGTGTGGATCACCAAGGTAATCTATCATTTATTTTATCTTAAAAAAAAACAAGTATTATATAAATATCAAATATCGATATTAATTTATCAATGTATATTTTTTTTTTGTTTAGACTAAAACCAAAGTCCAATAAATCTTCCTTAAACAACTTTTCTCCAACAACTGTTTCTCATCAAACATCTTCTCGCATTGTTCAATCCATTTTATCATCAGTTTTACAATTAGCTTCAAATACGAACTCGACCGTAGAATTCACGAAACGTGAATTCATGAATTCAAAAATTGAACAAACAAATAAAAAATCTTTATTATCCGAAATGTTGAAGAAAAATGTTGATGCAAAGGATATCCATCAAGCTTTACATGGAAAACCCATAATGATAAAAAAACCTTGTGATCTTACCATCGAAACTAATGTAACCACTACAAAGCGTGAACTTGGTTCTTCAACTGATACGTCTACAACGAGTAATGAAACAAAAAAAGTCTTAAAGTTTGGTAATTGCCCGTTAGTAGTTCGTGAAAGATCGACAAATTTGAATAATGATTCTTCAAAACCTGATGTATCTACTGCTGAACCTTCGAAAACCATACACAAACCTCATCTTTCTCCAGTGCCTATAACGTCTCCACAAGATGATGACGATGATGATGAGTTTGATTTTGAATGTGATATGTGTGATGGTTCAGATAGTGATGACGGTTACGTTGAAGATGATGAGGAGGATGAAGAGGATGAGGATGATGATGATATTTCAGAATATGATGAAAATAATGATGAATATGACGAAAATATTAATGATGTAGAAAATGTTGTAGAAAATGTTGATTATCATTCTCAACGCACCGAAGAAACTGTGACTCAAAGTAATATTACGTCAAATGATTCAAATACTTTGACCGCAGCATTACCTGATGGAGAAGCTATTGCTACCTCCACAACTGTATCTACAACTGTAACTACATCTGCAACTGCAATTGAAACTACTACAACTGTAACTGCAACTGCAACTACTAGTACGAGTGATTCTTCAACATCATGTCACTCTACTACTTCACATTATTCCACTGCCATATCAATATTAACTCCTACCAACACTACTTTAAACACTACT